AAGTTTACTTTAGGCTTAGTATGATAGAAAATTAGTTTTGTATAACTTCTGTTTGCTGTAATTTCAAATTAAATTTTAAAAACTTTGAAACTAAAAAAAATCAATAAAGTGATCCAAAAAATAAATATTTAAAGTATTACATTTTAACTTTCAAATTTAATGCATTCATACTGTATTTCCTCAATTAAACTGCAAAATAAAGGTACTGTTAAAAATAAATTCCTGTCTCAAGAGGTTTATTTGAATTTCATAAATCTAAGTCTTCAAATAAACCCTGGAGAATTTATACATTTTAAAAATAAATCCTGTTGGGGTTTAAGTGAGGAAACATGGTAAGTAAGTAAATTAAATTATAATGTGCAGCTAGTTCAATTTAAAAAAGTTTTTACCTATCAAAAATATATTTATATATCTTGTAATAATTCACAAGCAGAAATACTAATATATAGAATATTTATATCATAGGTGGAATATATAGAATACTTATTTATATAGAATTCTGATCAGGTGAATTCAAATAACTAAAAGATAAACATTTGTTTTCATTGAAAAATATTGAACAAAATTCTACAATTGAAGTAATTTTTCTGCCCAGCATTTAAAATTTATTTTTTATAATATTTTTTTAAAAATATTGTTTAAATCATCTATAATGCAAAAATGACATTTAAAAGCATTTAAACAATCATTAACAAGTATATTTTAAATTATTGAACATTAATGAATAATTTACAATATAATTATCATTTAATTAAAATTTTCTATTTTCCTAATATTAAGTAATAATTAGATACAGTAGAGCGTTGTTTATCCGAAAGTCAGTTATCCGAAAGAATTCCAGTCGGCAAATTTAAATTTTCGCTAGTGCTGTGGCACTGCAATCTTTGGCTATATCTTGGGCTACTCCAAAATTTTTATATTGGTGTGTGGTTTTAGCTGGCAGTGCTGGCACTTTTGTGTGGTGTTTTTCTGAGGACTGTGTGTCGTGCTGAGTCAAACGTTTTTGATACTAGATCAACTTGTAAAGTATTTTGTTTTGTTTTTTATATCTTTCAATATATTTATTTTGTTTGTAAAAAATAAAGAAATAATTTTTAACGATACAATAGCCACGATTATCATTTTAAAAAGTTTACTTTAGGCTTAACATTGACAAAAATTCAACGGAAAGCGACACAAAACAGAGAAAAATTTCGGCATGGGATAAGTTAATATATTTTTTCGTACATAATCGGTTATCTGAAAAATAAGTTATCCAACAACCCCAGGCCCCAATTGATTCAGATAAACAATGATCTACTGTATATTCAATCCAATCAAAAGTTTTAATTATTCAAATAACTAGAGCTAGATTACAAATGGCTCCATTTATTTAAATAATTAATATCAGAATAATATTCTCCGTAATTCCTTACTCATGAGAAGGTCAAATAACTGACAGCATTCGGAAATAAAAATTTTAAAATCTTCATAACCATAAAACTCAAAACTTTCATTAACTGTATGACTTATAACAAATTATATATAATAATATTTTATTTATAGAAATAATTGATCATCAAATACTGAATTTTATAATTCATAATACAGTGTTTTCGTTAGTTATTATTTTATTAATCTATCACAACAAGCAATTTAACAAAAGAGTTGTGTCTATCTCAATTTACAAAATTTTATCGTATTTAATTTAGTTTTATAATCATACTATGTTATAAATGTAAAGAGAATTTATAAATGTAAAATAATAAAATCTTTAATAATTTTATAGTAGAAAAAATATTTACTGAATTAATAAATAAATATGCATTACATATATGTAAAAATATAATAATCATATAAAATTTTAAATTTAATAAAAAACATTAACCTTAATAGGTCGACAGCATGGATCTTTAGAAAAATAAAAAATTGGAAGAGCTCTTTTCTTTTTGGGAAGTGGGACGGAGAGATATAGAAAAGGATCAAATGTAATTGACACCTATCAAAAATTAAAAAAGAAAATGAAATATTTTGCCAAATTCATTAAATTGTATTTAAATATATTTTATTCCTAACCTTATGGCAAACAGGACATACTAATTTAGACTTATATTGTCCTTGAAAAATGTCAACAACAATAGAATCATTTCTTTGCTTATAAAGTCTCCAAGATTCATCTGCAACAACCTAGTATTGTAATTAAAAAAAATTTTATTAAACAGAGTTAATTAAAATTTAAAACGTATTAAATAACTTGTTATATTAACATTTTTTATGACTAATAAATTATAATTTTAATTAAAGGTAATAAACATATATTCATACCTTATCTGGACGACCATCAGAGTCAATATTTTCTGTATAAGGTTTATTTTTAATCCTATTCAGATCCTGTATAAAATTTAATATTACTTTTCTTTTTATTTATTTCATTATTTTCAAAAACTTTCTTATATTTAATATTTAAAATTAATTTATCAGTATAATTTTTTAAAATTACCTCGTGTAATCCATCTAATAAAAAAGCCATAAATTCTTGTGCATCATGTTGAGCAAAGCCTGTGAACTGAATTGCTTTCATTCCTATCAATGTCTTTAATTTTGAAGGAGCATAAGAATTTTGAGTACCAGACCAAAGAACTTTCAACAGAACAGCAAATGCAACAGCTAATTTTCCACCCATTCCCAAAGGATTTTCAATATTAATTTCACATTGAAAATGACCATCTGCAATTAATTAATAATGAAGACTTTCAAAAATAATTTAAACAAAAAGTTTACAAACTATTAATTAAAAAGTTAATTATTATGATAGAAAAATAATCACAAAATTAAAATAAAATAAAACCCCACTTAACATGGGGTATATGTTCCTAGACAACAAAGCGCTAAATGAAACATTAAACAAGATCATTTTAACACAGAGTAAATAGAGAAAGGGGAACATGCGACCAAAAATAAACAGATTTTACTTTAAGTTATTTTTATATTAATTTGCATAATAATATATGTTAAATAACACATAAACATATGCACACAGAAATATAAAGTTCATTTTTTGTGATGTCCTGGCTTTTTTGAAATTATTGTTTTTTACAATAAAGTCATGTAGTTTCATTTGTTGCTTTTTTCTTTCATTACACAAATGTCGGTAGCAAGAGATTGCATCCAAAACACCTCAATTTTGCTTTTGCACTCCTTTCAAAATCTAGATCATTCGTTACAATTTGATCAACAATTTCAGTTATTGTTACCAAATTTTTATTGGAACCTTGAATAAGTTCTCGCTGTTTTTTCGTAAAAATTAATGCTTTATTTTAAAAATTTGTAAATAAACATATCACTGAAAGTATTGTCCATTGCTAGCCACTACTTTCTCCCATCATTCTGGCAGCACTTGAATTTCATGTCAGAAAAAGACATGTCTTTTGAGGCTATCCAAGAATCGACCATTTTTTGGCATCTTCATAAGAATGGAAGTGCTGCTTAGCCAGGCCATGTGCCATCGATCGGAACAAGTGATAATCGGAAAGGGCAATGTCTGGTGAATACGGCGGGTAGGGTAGGACTTCCCATTTAAGTGTTTCCAAGTAGGTTTTCACCAGTTGTTTAACATGTTGCAAAATCACTTTGTCATGTCTCTGTTCATATAGCAGCCATTTTTCCTTCAATGCTCAGCTCAAATGCATCAATTGTAGTCAATAACAATCTACCATGATGATTTTGTTCAGTTTGAGCAGCTCATAATAAACTATACCCAGCTGATCCCGCAGAGTAGAAGCTTCAAACCATGGATTTCATGGGGTAAGCCCAGCCATTCATGGTAGAAATCATGGGGTAAGCCCGGCCATGCATCAACATCGTTGGCAAAGCCGACGATGTTGATGCATGGCCGAGCTTACCCCATGATTTTCTACATTTAGGGTTATTGTAGTGTATCCACTTTTCATCGCCAGTTGTGATATGATGCAAAAATCTTTTCCTTTTCTGCTGTTGAAGCAGCTGTTCACACATGAAAAGACAGTGTTTGATGTCTCTCGGCTTCAACTTGTACAGCACCCAATGCCCTTGCTTTTGAATCATTCCTAATGCTTTCAAACATTTTGAAACTGTTGTGTAATCAACTCCTAATGATTCTGCAAGTTCAGCTAGCGTCTGACACGAGTCTTCAAGAAGTAATGCCTCTAATTCTTCGTCTTCAAACTTTTTCAGTGTGCCAGAGCATTCTTTATCTTCAACATCAAAATCATTATTTTTGAAGCATCTAAACCAATTTCTGCATGTTGTTTCTGACAGAGTATGGTCGCTATAAGTCTCAACAAGAATTCTCTGTGCTTCAGCTGCACAGTTCTTTTGAAAAAAATAGTGCAATAAAATTCCCTGCAAATACTTTTTTTTGGCATGAAACTCGACATGTTTAACACTATGAAAAAAAAAAGTTGTTTACACTTTGGCAAAATGACATATACTGAATTTCAAGGTTGCTTATCATACTTCCTTACAGATGCATCACCATCTTAAACTACATGCATGCAGTACTGGTAATACCATCTGCTGGAAAACAGCGAGAACTTATTCAAGGTCCCAATACTAAAGAAATCTGTAGAGAAATTCTTTGGGGTTCTTCGTTTTCAGAGTCACAATTTTCCAGTTCTACATGAATTACTTGTTCTGCCAGTCCTTGAAGTTTGTTGTTGGTAAGGCTCTCACCAGAAACCTGCAGTAACTCCCGAATATCCTGTTCGTCTACATCTCCTTGTCCAGCTGTATCAATTAGGTTGACAATTTGGTCAACCTAATGATACAGCAATAGGCTCTTCTCATTGAGAATTCTTGGATACTTCCAGCCATAACTTCTTCCACACTCTGTCCATGCAATTATCAGTTAATTCTTGCCAAGAGAAGTCAATATTGCCTGTGGCATCCATAATGTTATATTTTTTCCAAAATTGCACCAAACAAACATAAATTTAAGGAAAGTACAGTGCTACAATGAATTGCCACCTTTTGCTAATTGGTTTGTGTTTGAGAATAATTGTATTATATACGAATCAATCAAATGCTGTGAGAATTTGAATCAGCATAAATTTTGAGCTTTTTTTAAGGCTTCGAGCAGACCACATTATATTGAATCAGCATTAATTGAGGCAGCATTAAGTGGGGTCTTTCTGTATAATGAAGTTATTTTCATTACATTTTAAAATTTACCAAATATTTTAGAATAAATTCAAAACTTTAATTCAATTTTTAAAAATATCTTCGTATTCCACATAGAAATCTATTTATCTATTTACATAAAAATTATACACATATATAAGCAGCACTAATACATTTTAATAATAAAATTTCTTAACTGGAATAAATGTAAAAATGAAAAGTTCCAGCCTAATACATTTTGTTGAACATATGATATTAGAGCAGACATAAAACTCAGTTCTTTATAAATAAATTTCTCAAATACACACATCAGTACTTACACATACATATACATACAGAGATTTAAGGCTGTATTACAGCAAAATGCTTTAATTAACTTAATGCTTTACATCAAAAGGCTGCTAACACAGCACTTTTCAATTATATTCATGTTCATTATTTTCAGCACTTTCCTTGCTCTTAATTAAGGGAGTTTTTACAGTTGTTTTTATTTATTAATTTTACTTTTGCATCATTTCTTAGATCTAGTATTATTACATACATAATAAATAACAGTGTAAATATGTTTTTAGGCTTTTATATGTATTGTCGAATGAGAAAAGATGGTGATATTCACTTTATGGCACAGGTCTGAAACACTAATTCATCACATTAGCAAGATATCAAGATAGCTAATATATATATACACACATAGAATGCAGTATCAAAAAAATCAAAGAAAAATTTCTGTAACTATTTATTTTAAAAAACTAGATACATAACAGAATCTTGTTAACCTGATAAATCTTCATTTATGCAATCACATGACTTAAAAGTCAGAATCACTGTCAAATAACAGAAAAGTTATTTGAACCCAAAATTAATGTTCTATATTATTAATGTAGAATTCAAGCAAATGTACACATTTATTTTTTTTTCATTTTTGGAACATTAACAAAAATGCAATTAGGCAAATACTTTTGATTTTTATTTTATCTTAACATGAAGAATTGAAATAAAATTTTAATAAGATGATTTCAAAAATATTTTTAGTATTTAATTTACAAATTTGATTAAAGCAAACTTCAAAAAAAAACATTTTACAACATATAGTATCAAAATCACTATTTATGTCAAGTTTAATAATGAATTAATGTTTCAACAAATTAAAATTTAAAGCATTTTAGATTTTGTTAAGCCCTCTGAAATAAAGGAAACCAAGTAACTATTAACAACATTGAAAACTGAGTAACTATAAATAGATATATGTTATTACAAAAACTACTTAGTTACATATGATTAATGAACAGGCTTATTACACACCCAGCCTATTTAATTAACTTATCCCAAACTGCATTTCGGCTTTACTAGCTCTTATCAATTGAGTGACATACAAAACAGTCTATGGTGACAATTTACCAACTTTACATTATACATTAATAGTACAATTATTAGAAGTTATTACATAGTTATTACATACACATTATTAATATGATTCTAAAAATATCACTAAGACAATAACTCAACAATAATAAACAAGTCCAGTAAAAATCTTATCAACAGTCCTTCTGTCTTCTTCACAGTAGTGGTAATTTCCTATTCTTCTGTCACCACCACACCTTCAGAGTATGCTGGTTCAGTTTCCTTTTCTTGATATTTTTTCTTATTTGGATTAGTTGGGACACATTTTGGACAAGAGAATAGGAAATTACCACTACCATAAAGAATACAGAAGGACTGTTGACAAGGTTTTTACTGGACTTGTTTACTATTGTTGAGTTACTGTCCTAGTGATATTTTTAGAATTGTATTAATACTGTGTATGTAATAACTATGTAATAATTGTACTATTAATGTATAATGTAAAGTTGGTAAATTGTCACCATAGACTCTGGTTTGTATGTCACTCAATTAATAAGTGCCAGTAAGGCCAAAATGCATTTTGGGACAAGTTAATTAAACAGGCTGGGTTTGTAATAAGCCTGTTCATTAGTCATATGTAACTAAGTAGTTTTTATCCTTTACTTCACAACTGGGTGTATAGGTAGACACTGAGCATCTTTAACATCACTCTTTATTCCTGAATAAAGAATGATGTTAAAGATGCCCAGTGTCTACCAATGCACCCAGTTGTGAAGTAAAGAATAATTAAAAGAAGACATGGTTTCAGAATAAGTCAATAAGTAGTTTTTGTAATTAAATAATACAGGCAAGAAGCTTTTTAATAGATATATGTTATATTTAAAATAAAAGATTGTTATTGTGTATACAACAGAAATTTTTGAAAAATAATTATAAGTGATAAGATAAGATGTAAAAACTTAACCTAAGTTAATTTAGGAATAGTCTACACAATCATCTGTTCATGACTGAAAATAACAAACAATTTAAAGAAACAAAAATTAAGTATTGATAATTAGGCAACAAGTACTAGATTTAACTGACAGATTATTAAATATTACAATGACATTCTTTCTTTTGAAGGTAACTAACATATTCAAGAATATTGTAATTTTTCACAGGTAAATGGTATACAGTGTTCCTACAGAATTTTTCCCTTCTAATTTTCTGATTATTGATGATGAAATTTTTTCCTGAATGCTTCTTAATTAATTAATATTAATATTAATTTTAAAAAAAAGGCTATATTTTGAAAGGTAGTTGGCTCAAATTTCACTTTAAATTTACATATACCGTGTACAAAAGTTAAATGAATTAATTTTACATTAGTTTTACATTTATAATACAAAATCAAAAAGTATATTTTCCTGTGTTGGATGATAACTTTGCTCTAAACCATCCTTTCTCAAAGTGGGCAATAATGCCCCCTTGTGGGCACTGGAGGCTTTCAGGGAGGCAGTAGAAGGCTCAGTGATTAAATATGAGTTTTATTTCTTCTCATTGAAACATTCTTTGATCTCAGAAATAGATATGGGTCACACCCTATCTATCCTATCTATATAATAATGCATGTTTAAACATTATATTTGCAATAACTGTTTTTAAGATATGCAACAGATGGTANGGTGTCTATGCTTTTTATATGTTGTGTCAAGTCTGTGTGATGTGAATGTAAGTTTAATGGTGTGTTATTTGAATCTGCTAGAGTTACTGCTATATGCAACTGTAATGTTTCTTGTTTTCAGTAGAAAAACTATCGCAATGTCTGTATTTGTTTGTAGTGGAGGTTAACTATGTCGATCAGGTCACGTCCGCCTTCTTTACGTGGAATGGTTAATCTTTCTATGACAGATTTAGGATGATGCTGTTTATGCTTAGTAAGTGTTCTTATTTTCATTTGGAGTTGCTCAAGATCTGTGTGAGTCCAATGTATAACTCCAAAAGAATAAGTGAATACTGGGACGACATATGTGTTTATTGCTTTAACATTATCTTATTTCATCAGTGAATGAAATACAGCATAATAAACATAACAACTGTGATAAAAATATATAAATAAAACTTGAGATTAATAGAATATGTAAAAGGTCACGTCACATCTTTCACCTTGTGACGGCATACCGGTCGCGGAACACTGCTCTAGACCATTGATGGAAAATCTGTGAATAAAACAGCCTACTTTGATATCAATGGAAACTACCTACAAAGTATAACCTTTAATTTATATTTTAACAATAAAGTAAAAATATTCAATTATTTATAAATGAGAGTTAGTAATTTTAAATTTTTTCTGTAACTATTAGTAAATTCTACTACATTTACTAAAACTTATTTATATTATATTATTGAAAATATTAATCCATTTAACTTTAGTGAAGAAGAATATTTAAATGATTATGAACTGCATTTGAATTAATTAGTTCTGAAAAAAATTGAACTAACAAGAAATTTAAAAGACAAATTTACTATATTTTATTCAAGAAATAGAGATCCTGGGAAAAGTCTGTAAAGAAAAATATCAATAAATATTAACTGATAAAAACTATAAATATTTCCTAATATACAAGTGAAATAAATACTTTGACTCAATGATAGAAAAATTGATATTCCTAAAACCAAAAAAAAATTACAACAATTCGTCAATTAAATGAAAATTTGAGAAAGCTAGTACTACACTATTTTTCTTAATTTTAAAAAGTAGCTTTATCAATATGAAATATATTTCGCATAAAAAAATTAGTTATTTTGATAAACATTTATATTCCACAAAAAAAATAAGTTAAAAACAACAAGATTTAACTTACAACTAAATTTATTAACTATTGTAAGTAATGCATGATTAGAAGTTTGTAAATATAGCATAAAATGATCACTTTAGTTATTCATATGCAAAATATAATTTATTAAATCTGAAAATTAGTGAAAAGCATTATATATGAGATTTTATCATCACTCTCCATACAGTATATAAAAACGATTTTCTAAATATGAATTACCTAAGAAGAAATCACGAAATTCTCTTGTATTAGCAAGACATTGAAGAACACTGTTCATAAAGCATGTATTTCCTAAATTGTCTAATCCTGTTAGACCTGGAGTCACAATCTGTGATGGTTGTTTGCTTTTGCTAAGTGGAGAAACCATGCATGTAGGCTTCTGAAAAAATATGTTGATAAGTTACGACAATATATCTGAATGGGTATAAAAAAAACTAATCAAAAATTTCAATTTATTTAATAAACACAGATATTTTTTTTTATTGCAAATATATTTAAATTTAAATCTGATATAAATATCAAACAATATCTGTTTAAAAATAAAGATATTAGTTTAACTTACTTTAACATTACTGTTACTGCTATAGGAATAAACAGAATCAGATAATTTACTATCCCCTATTGTAACTGGGACAGTTGAAGTTTTTGTTGCATCTTCTCTTCCCCTAGATGGGGATCTACGAGAACGATGGGGTGATCCTTGTTTTGATTCAACTTCATCAGTTTTCTTCATTGAATATTGTTTATTAGAATTTTCAGAACTTGCTGAATGAGAAACAACTGAACTCCTGCTCACAGGAACCCAAATATTACTTGGAACTGTAGATGACTGACCTAAAATTAAAAAATAAGTCTTAATTTCTAAACACCAAATTTTTTGTTCAGACATATTGCTTTTTAGAAAAACTAGTAAAAAATTTCAATTTACTTTATTCTGGAAACATGACTATTTTATTATTCAAAAACATCACATTTGAATTTATCTAATTAATATTTAATGTTAATTGAATTTATCAATTGATGACACTGCAAGAAAATAAACTCATACATTTTCATTACCTTTGAAAAGATGAGAAAAACAATGAAAGCGTAAGAGTTATAATAAAATACAAAATATTTTCTGTAAAATTATTCAGAATATATCACATTTATAACAAGTTTCTTCTGGATTATTAAAACATACATACCAATAGATGCTTCTAAACTACCCCATCGTTTTGCAACTTTCTTTTTTAAGGTTATTTCTAGGCGACTACTAGAAAGTTTATAAACACACTCTTTTGGCTTGATTAGTTCTCTGAAATTGGAAAAATATGAAAATATAAATGTTTTTGTATAAATTTACATAAATAAATGTAATAATGTAACAAGTAAGTAAGTAAAAAACTACAATATCTTTCAATGTATATATATAAATTTTAGAATATATTAATGATGTATTTACTAATTACTTGTTACATTTATATCCAGAATAATCCAATATTTTATTAATTTTTTCTATTATAACTAAATAAATAATTACTATATCAAAATACAATGTTATGAAATTTATAAATGTTCAGAAATTATCTTAGAATAAAAGCATCTTTCAATATGAATTTAGCTTTTTATTTAAATTAAGATATAATAGAAATTCTATTAACTAATTTCCATTTAATTCAAACTGTGAGAGCTTGGACTTGATGAAAATTTTTTGGAAAAACAAAATTTTCTTAAATTGGTTTAAATCCCAGTGAAAAATTTTCAATTTAATTACCGGAAGATGATCGCAAAAGATAAATATTCAAACTGCTCGATCCAAGAACCCCTATACACCGACACATCAAACTCAAATTTCCTCAATGATCTACAATCTCAACCCATTAATCAAGTTACCAAGGTATTTATCAACACATGCAGAAAATGTAAACTCTCTCTGTTGATTACGGTGATAGTACTTTTTTGCCATACAAAAATCTGTTACTATTGTTATGCTATATGAAGCTTTAGTAATTATTTACCACTATGAAACTAAAACAGAAATGTTTATCTGCTGTATACATATCTAAATGTAAATAAACAGGTATTAATTTTGAAATTGAGTTGCAGTGTGCACTTTTTTCTGCCACATTGTCTCTCGGACAGCCTCTATTCGACTGCCTATGAACAAATCTGAGCACCTACACACAGCCACTCGCGCATAAAACGAAAAAGGCCATTGAGGTTTCTGCGTCTGTCCTTAAGACACAGTGGTGTCAGTCCCGACAATACAGTCATCGCAAACGCAGTGTTGACCCTTTGGCCCCGTGGTGTGGAAGCATAGATGGATACTTCGTGCATTGTCACAAAACTATTTCTTCCTGTAAATCTTAGAAATAGAAATATAAGATGACTAACAGATTAGTTATATATGACAATGATGATATGTATTTAAGACAATTTACATAAAACTACATATAATTGCAGTAAAATAAAAATTTATAATTCGTTGCTACTTTTTTCTAATTAAACTGAAAATTAAAATTTTATGAAAAATAGAAACATTATATATTTTTAAGTAAACAAATAGTTTATACATTTTTTAAAATATTCTGTTTATTTTTTTTATAATTATTTCTTTTAACTGAATATTTAATTAATCAACCAAAGGCTAGTCTCATCACATCAGTTAACAGAGTTTCTACTATAATGATATATATTCAAGGATTCATTCTCAGGATTAAATATTTTTGTTTGATTCCAATATATATGTATATGAAGATTGTTCTCAGTAATGTTAATATGACTGAGGAGGGGTTGGGATGTACTGCGCCAACCTGAAATGCATTTGTCAATTTTGAGAATAAAATTGTAGTTCCTAACTGAAAATTTGCTGTGAGTCCGTCTACCATTTGTTGGATTACAGAGACGTATTACATAGAGATTTAATATGACTAATAAGTAACTGATTATTTTTTTCTTCTTAACTAGATATTATGAAAAAATTAGAATAAAAATATTCAGTCTAAAATGCATCTTCTTTATCATATTAATTTTAAAAGAAATATATTCTGTTTCTCAGTAGTCTTTTTAATTAAAAAGATAGCATTTAAAAAATAAATAATATAAACTGCAATTTTAAAACTAAATTGATAAAAGAATTAGGAAGAAAATGAAATATGGAAAACAGTATTTTTCCTATAAAGTTGATTAACAAAAAATAATATAATCTTTGCACTGAAAATTACTTTTTATATTCTTTCTGCATTAGATAACAGAAGAGTAACTAATTTCTAATAAATAATAGTTGTTTAAATAATATTAATTGAAATTTTAAAATGTTGGTTTAACTTTAAGAAAATGTAGTCTGTCAAAAAAATAGAAATCTCAATGTAACATACAGTAGAGCGTCATTTATCTAAAAGCCGGTCAACTGAAACGTCGGTTAACCGAAAGTGTTCCAGTTGGCAAATTTTAATTTCCACTAGTGCTGTGGCGCTGCAACCTTTGGCTATGACTTGGGCTACTCCAATATTTTTTTGTTGGTGTGTGTGTTTTAGCTGACAGCACTGGCACTTTTGTGTGGTGTTTTTCTGAGGACTGTGTGTCGGGTCACAACCCCCTCATTCAAAGGGTAAATCTTACCATTTATTTTGTTTGTAAAAAATAAAGGAATAATTCTTAATGATACAATAGCTACGATTATTGTTATAAAAATTTACTTTAGACTTAACTTCGACGAAAATTCAACGCAAAGCGACACGCAACGGAGAAAAATTTCAACATGGGATAGGTTAATATATTTTTTCATACATAATCAGTTATCCAAAAAATAAGTTATCCGAACAACCCAGTCCCCAACTGATTTGGATAACCGACACTCTACTGTATTATGTATTCAATAAAACTATACTAAATTCATAAAAATTAAATTTGTCTTATAAGACAAATTTGGGGGGGCGTGTTTTGCCTGTGGAGGTGTTGGCGACTTTTTTGCTGAGCTGTTATGGCAATGTTAGACATTGAAGTTTTACAGTACAATATTAAGTATAGAATTGAAATAAGAAGTTTAAATGTTTTATTAACTCAAATAATAATCTTTATCCTACTAATGATTGCTGGTATTGAGTTAAATCCTAGACCCCTTTCTCGATCCCCTCCTATACCAAGTCAAGTAGTTATGCAAAAAAAGGGGGCAAGGGAGACCACGTAGAGAACTTACAAGAGATATAGAAGAAAACATTCAGACAACCGAAATACCATAAGAGGAATTCTTGATTGAGGAACACTCCAGGAATACTACTGACATCTCGAGGTATGCTACAATAAAGGATTTTTTTGAACCGGTAGAAGATCTTCTATTAACAAAGACTACTGAACCTGAATATTCACTTAAAGTGGTTTATGAATTAATCCAAGACAAATTTGATCGTTTGAACTTTGAAGTCTGTTCTATGAGATCTGAAATCAACAATATGAATGAAGAAAATTTAAAGCTCAAGGAAGAGTTGAAAGATATGTGTAAAAAATACATTTATTAGAAGAAAGAACAGATTCATACAATAAGTTAAAAGGTATGGTGGAAAATCTAATTATATTTAATTTTCCATTCCAAACCTCGGAATATGTAGAAGAATTTTGAAAAATTTATAAAAGAAAACTTAGAGCTTAATAGTATAGAAATCAAAGGTCTTATTCAATTAGGAAATAGAAAAAACACTCAAGTAATTAAGGTTAGGACCGAATCGGTTAAAGATAGAAATCTAATTCTTAATCAATTTTGGACAACACAATAGAAAGTGACGGACAAAAAGGAAAAAATAATAATATCAATGGACTTGTGTCTTAGATCTAGGATTAGAAGAAAATTATTATTAAAAACAATTAAACTAGAAAAATCAAATGATAACAGAATAAAAATTAGAAATGATTATCTTTTAAAAAATAATATAATGTACACATATGATATGAATAATAAAGAAATAATTCAGTTAAATCATTTTTTAGAGTCAAATATAATACAAGATTAGCTAAAATAAATCAAAATTTAAAAACAATGCAGGAAAAAAGGAGAATGGCTAATAATATGGAGAATAAAAATAGAAAAACGAGTGGAGATAAATTGATAGTCAAAGATATGAATTGAATGAGAAAAAAGTAGAAATTCCAAAAAGAGAAAAAAATAATGTGACAATAAGCTTTTGGAATATTCAAGGATTAAGAGAAAAATTATTCAAAACCTCGATGAGAAAATTTCTGGAGTCAAACAAAATATGTGTGAATATTGTAATGAAAAGGATAAACTACAAAGACTCCAGATTGGGCCGCTGGCTAAATGTACTAGTGAGTTGGAAATGTATAAGACATTTGATAGAACTAATGTTAACATGATTTATATGTTATATAACTACGTTAAACAACTAATTAAATGATAATTGTGACAAATTATTAATATAATTTTATAGATTAGTAAATAGAAAATATTAATGTTGTTAAAATATTATTATAGGAGATTTCAATATGCGTTTCTTTAAGATAAAACACCCTTGTAACAGGCAAAAGCCTTCTATGCCAATAAAGATTACAATTACAAAAAAAAAATTATAAGATAAATTTAATTTTTATAAATTTCTATTCTTTTGACAGACTACTAATGATAAATTTCTATTTACTACAAAATTAATAAATTTTTAAGTAAATAACTTGACTGTACATTCTTAAAAAAAAAAAAAAACTCTCTAAAATCTTTCTGCACAGTGAATATTTCTTAAATTTTTAACTGTAGCACAAACTTAACTCTTATTTTATATATATATATATATATAGAGGAAAAGGTGGTATTATGGTACCACTCTATTTCAAACTGATAATAAAGGTGAACTGTAACAGATTGTGGCTGAACTGAACTAAGCAGACATCCATAGCAAGGGGAAAATCCGTTTCACTTCAGTTAAACGGTTGTCCGTAGTGAATCAGCAAATTTGTGTTTTTCAAAATTCGAAAGTTTTGAATGCTAAGTGAATTTAATTATTTTTAAAATATAAATTGTGTAGTTGTAGGTTCACTGGTGCATGTATTCCGTTCCATAGACTTAGGGGTACATATTAATCTGTGTGATGTTCACATTTTTTAAAATTTGGTCTTGACAGACATAAGTTAATTCAAGATGGATATTCCATTGGTGCTTTTAATATGGAACCCAACTCCTCTGAACTCTCTATTTGCAAGCAGACATTCGTCCGGAGCAATTTGTGAAAAAGTCACTAAGTAGAAAGCCAATTCTTCCTGAAAATATCGAAAAAGAGCTGCTTGAATATATATTGTTGATGGAGGTCATATTTTTCTATTATAAAAGCATTTTTTCGATAAAATACATTGGAGTAAATAACTTTGTAATTATTTAACATTCTTTGTACTTTCCTATTTGTTTTTGGATACACTAAAGCATTTTTTGAAAACATACAGTAAAGTTCCATATTACCACCCAATTTTCTCTAAGCCTACTTTCTGACTTTTTGTACAAAAGCCTTCAAAAACCATACTTATAGTTATACTAGCGAAAAATCCAATTAGGAACATTTAGTTTACTATTTACCAGTACTTTTTGCACAAAAAATGTGGTGTAGTTATGATACCTTTTTTACAATTCACTAAAATGAAATGGGGTTCTATAATACCACCTTCTCCTCTATACATATACAGTGGTACTTTGATTTCCGAGTGTCCCAACTTATGAGTTTTTCAAGATACAAGCTATCTCAGCTGATTTTTTGCTTTGACTTGAGAGCTAAAATTTGGGTTTTGAGCCAGCTTCAGATATCCCACTGCAAGTTTGTGCAGCAAATGCCACAGTGAACCATAGATTAAAAAAAAAAATGGAAAACTGCCATAATTTTGTCATTTTCATTACTCTTCCAATGTTTGACAGGCTAGCTTATAGAAAAACATGTGATTGAGTGACATAGGCATTAGTTCACTTCCACGTTGTGTGCAGAACTATTCTCTCTCCTTCCTTGAATTTTCCATCTTTTCTTTCTTTCTCTATGTAGCAAATGCTGCAACATCCACAAAACCAGTTTATTGCAGTACATTCTATTGTGCTTTTAAACAATATATTCATTACTTATAAGTACATTTTTCTTATTTAAAAACATGTAACAAAAAAATTGTGGTGTTTTGGTGTCCAGAACAGATTAATGGCATTTCAATTCATTTCAACAGGGAAAATTGATATTTGACATAAGAGTAATATATATGTAGATAGATAGATGGATAAACAAAATTTTTGGAAATAAATTTATATTTTAAAGTTTAACTCATTCTTCATTACAAATATCATATATAAATTAAATTTATGTATACATACAAAAATAAAAGATTTTATATTCTTGGCATTACAAATGGCTGCTGTGCTGGAGGAGGACTTATGAATTGCCCAATATAAATATGTTTACATTTATCAATATATATTCATAAATATTCATAAGTAATGTTGTACTACTATCAACAAAATTGAATGTCTACTCAAAATAAGAAATTGTATTTACTCATGAAAAATACAATGCTGCAAAATGGAACTATTTAATCTGCTTTGCAGCATTTTATCTATTTTTGTGTGATTCATAGTCTGGATTCATAATTCAGACTACAAATCATACAAAAATAAAATTAGAATAATAATAAAAGTTGCTGTATCTGTAAATTTTCTTATTTACAAATACAGCAAGCTTATGCTACTTAAAAAATAATTAGATTAGAATAAAGATTAAAATAAATTACCTAAATTTCTAAAAAATTTACAATAAACATTTAACTAACTGTACTGATTTAGCAGACAACTTTGCTATGACAGATCACCTTTAGGATTAGATATTAGTTTGTTGGATTCTAATAAAAAATTGTTGATTAAGTGGAAATATTATAGCTATGATTATCTATGGTATTTCTTTTATCTAAATATAAAAAAATAATTACATACTTGACTATAATCTTCCAAATAAAAAGAGTATTTTCATTTGTAGTTGTATGGACATTGAGAAACTTTGTATCACTGTATCAGACAAATCATACATTATGATTATNGGGATAAATTAATATATTTTTTCGTACATGATTCATTATCCGAAAAATAAGTTATCCGAACCACCCCAGTCCCCAATTGATTCGGATAAATGACGCTCTACTGTATTTGGTTTCTCCTTCTCTTTGTCAAGGATATATACTTTTTTTTTTTAATGCATTTTTAACTAAATTTTGATATATACACTTGAGTATCATCTAATATGTTTTTATTATGTATTACACTTATTACATCTTTTTTTATAAATTGTAATTCTCTTTTCATTAATTATTATAGTGGTACCTCGTATGTCAAACAACTCTAACTTTGAATACTTCAGAGTTTGAACACAAAATTCAACAAAACTTAATCCTGGGGCCATATTCTGGACACTTATCTCGTCTCTTCTTTCAGAGATGAACGATGCCAAAATGAGAGGCAAAATTCATCTCTCAGAGATAGAGGCGATTCTGGTCGTTCATAACGATCTCGTTTTTGTTGCTGACATCACAATTTTATTAGGTTGATTATACATGTTTGGGTTATCTGTACAAGTAACACAGTATTTTAACAAATGAAATTGTAAAATTTTCAAAAATGTAGAGTATGAAATTATAGATCATGTGGTAAGGAAAGCATGAATTCAAATAAAGCACATAATTTTGACAAAGATATGTTTTGTTGTTTTATAACATTTTTACAGATTGTAATGTCAGAATGTGTCGGGTAATGTCTCAATAAAAATTTTAATAACCTAAGAAAAGCGTACGCACTTAGTTAAAAGAGAAATTAGATGGTAATATTTTGAAAAATACTTAGAAAGACAGATAAGATTAACAACATATTCCATAGTTTAGTAATTGATGTGGGATCATTAAAAAAAAAAAAAAAATGGAGTCAATGGTGTTTCCAAATAGGCACTGGAAAAAATCAGAAGAATTATCTCTCTTGAAATATTCTTTCCCAAGATGGAGAATGTTCTCTAATGCAATTATACAGTGCGAGAAGCATCCAGTCATCCATATTGGATATAACAAAATTTATGGTTTTAAAAGATTTTAAGAGGTGGGAGTATTAAGAATGATTTTTATGATTTATTTAAAATTTGTAGAAAATCTAATCTTAAATTTTGTGTCTTTTTTCATCAACAGTAATAACTGAAAAGGGAAAGGTAAAATGGCTTCCTTAAATGCATTTTATAGTTACTAAGGAAGAGAAAATGTTCTATTAAAATTGCTTTCTTACTAAAAATAGTGTTGTTAGTTTCTAGAATGGTCTTGGTTAATACTAGTCTGAAATTATAATTGATTGACAATAATATACCAACATCCAAGATTATTGAAAAATAATGCTAGAATAATTTTGACAAAAATATGGAAAATTTATTCCTAAAAATTTTATAAAATAGAAATTAATTCTACTAAATGGAATTTATTTTATATATAATTTCACTCAAGATTAAAATTTACTAAAAAATTCATTAAATAAAAAGTTTAATATGTAAAATTTGTTACATGAATGAATGAATTAATAAAAATCATATATCCAGAACTATATTATATTATTTAAAATACCTGGAAATTTTACTAAACAATTTTTCTCAGAAAATTTCACTTGTACTTGATTAACATCAGTATTTGGATTAAGATTTATTATTATTATCAATTCACTCTCTGTTTGTTGCCATTCATATCGCACAGTACCTAAAAATGTTAAAAATAAAGATATGTTAAAAGATAAAAATAATAAATTTAATAAAATAATAATTAAATAATTTAAGTTAAATAAAAGATATTGTATAAAGATATTATAAATTACTGTATTAGATATATTAAAAAATTTCAAATACTATATACAGGTAACTCTTAGTTTTTCAAGGATTAGGCTCCTTGGAAATCTCACAAGTATCAAATAAGAAAGCCTAAGGAAAAATTTTAAGGCTGTAACACACTAGGCAATTTCTCACTCCACAGACATGTCTCTGATGGACAAAAACCTGTTGAAATTCGGCAATGTTTGGACACACGAGGAGACAATTTGCCGGAGTCATACGATTGATATTTCTACCTGGTAATTGTAAATTTTCACTAATGGAACAAAATTATATATCTTTGGGTACCTTGTGATATTCTTTAAATCAGCAATTCCCAACCTGTGGTACGCGTACCCCTAGGGGTATGCGATAGGTTGTTTAGGGGTACAGAAAAAAGTTAGTTATTATGGCAGAAAAAATAATATATTATGTATCACAAACTATTAGTATTAAAAAANAAATTTTTGTTCAGACATATTGCTTTTTAGAAAAACTAGTAAAAAATTTCAATTTACTTTATTCTGGAAACATGACTATTTTATTATTCAAAAACATCACATTTGAATTTATCTAATTAATATTTAATGTTAATTGAATTTATCAATTGATGACACTGCAAGAAAATAAACTCATACATTTTCATTACCTTTGAAAAGATGAGAAACACAATGAAAGCGTAAGAGTTATAATAAAATATAAAATATTTTCTGTAAAATTATTCAGAATATATCACATTTATAACAAGTTTCTTCTGGATTATTAAAACATACATACCAATAGATGCTTCTAAACTACCCCATCGTTTTGCAACTTTCTTTTTTAAGGTTATTTCTAGGCGACTACTAGAAAGTTTATAAACACACTCTTTTGGCTTGATTAGTTCTCTGAAATTGGAAAAATATGAAAATATAAATGTTTTTGTATAAATTTACATAAATAAATGTAATAATGTAACAAGTAAGTAAGTAAAAAACTACAATATCTTTCAATGTATATATATAAATTTTAGAATATATTAATGATGTATTTACTAATTACTTGTTACATTTATATCCAGAATAATCCAATATTTTATTAATTTTTTCTATTATAACTAAATAAATAATTACTATATCAAAATACAATGTTATGAAATTTATAAATGTTCAGAAATTATCTTAGAATAAAAGCATCTTTCAATATGAATTTAGCTTTTTATTTAAATTAAGATATAATAGAAATTCTATTAACTAATTTCCATTTAATTCAAACTGTGAGAGCTTGGACTTGATGAAAATTTTTGGAAAAACAAAATTTTCTTAAATTGGTTTAAATCCCAGTGAAAAATTTTCAATTTAATTACCGGAAGATGATCGCAAAAGATAAATATTCAAACTGCTCGATCCAAGAACCCCTATACACCGACACATCAAACTCAAATTTCCTCAATGATCTACAATCTCAACCCATTAATCAAGTTACCAAGGTATTTATCAACACATGCAGAAAATGTAAACTCTCTCTGTTGATTACGGTGATAGTACTTTTTTGCCATACAAAAATCTGTTACTATTGTTATGCTATATGAAGCTTTAGTAATTATTTACCACTATGAAACTAAAACAGAAATGTTTATCTGCTGTATACATATCTAAATGTAAATAAACAGGTATTAATTTTGAAATTGAGTTGCAGTGTGCACTTTTTTCTGCCACATTGTCTCTCGGACAGCCTCTATTCGACTGCCTATGAACAAATCTGAGCACCTACACACAGCCACTCGCGCATAAAACGAAAAAGGCCATTGAGGTTTCTGCGTCTGTCCTTAAGACACAGTGGTGTCAGTCCCGACAATACAGTCATCGCAAACGCAGTGTTGACCCTTTGGCCCCGTGGTGTGGAAGCATAGATGGATACTTCGTGCATTGTCACAAAACTATTTCTTCCTGTAAATCTTAGAAATAGAAATATAAGATGACTAACAGATTAGTTATATATGACAATGATGATATGTATTTAAGACAATTTACATAAAACTACATATAATTGCAGTAAAATAAAAATTTATAATTCGTTGCTACNAAAAGGCTAAATAAAGTAGTTGTTAACAAAAACAAAATGAGTTAAAAGCAATTTTTAACTAAACATATCTTATTATTATTATTATTATTATTATTATTTTTTACTCTTTCCGCACTGTGGGCACTAAGAGGGCCTCTTAAAGCAGGCCCATTATGGGTTCGGCCGGGCCCACAATGGGATGACTGGGTGGTGAGGGACGGGGCCAGACATATCCGAACGGACCACCCCCGAAAAATTCCTGGGGATTCTTTGACCCGTCCAGATTTGATTCTGGGTCCCCCAGAGTGGTAGGCAGCCACCTTGACCGCTCAGCCATCTGGCCATATATCTTATTATTAATATTTATCACTAGTGTAAACTTTTTTAAAAATTCTTTGTCATTTAAATCGTACATTTAAAATATGACAATACATTTGAGGAAGTTCCTATTGCTTGCCTTATGTTTCACACATTTCAAGTGATTTTTAATGTTTGAATGCTAACCACGAGTTACTGAAAATTCTGAAAAGCACAGTTTGTATTTCACTTCGTCAATACGATCACAGACTTTTTTCAATCATCAGTAAACACATGGTTTCTTTTTGGAATTTTAGAGATTAAATGAATTTAATACACTGTACAAAATAATTGCAAATGCCAATCAGCAATTTGAACTCGACTAAAATATGACACGTACAGCAATGACATGGCCAGTGTAAGTTCCAGTCTTGCCAACTCTAATTGAAACAAAATATCTAAAAACATGAAATAAAAATATTTAGATCTCATAGGCTACGTGCTATTATAAATTCTGTGAAAAAAATATCTGAATGACAAAATAAAACATCTAAATTCATTAGGCCATATGCTATAAATTTTTGAGGAAAACATATAGATGACATTAAAAGTACTTAGATCTAGATACGAAATATTTAGATTGACAACAGTGAGTGTAACAGAGGGATAAGTGCCAAATCGCCATTTTACTCGAGGCTGCACTATTTTTAATTCTTGTTTATTCAGTATTTTCAACATTTTACCAAATAACCGGGACAAAATGACAAACTGGCCAGAACGCTGGGACAAAACATCGTCAAACTGGGACAATCCCGGTCAAAACAGGACGTCTGGTAA